TGTGTGTGTGTGTGTGTGTGTGTGTGTGTGTGTGTGTGTGTGTGTGTAGTGTAGTGTAGTGTAGTGTCGTGTCTTGCCTCTCTTCTGCCCTTGGATCTTTGGGTATCTACGGCCTTAGCTATGATGATGGCAAGGCTCTTTCCCCTCTGGACAAATGGTTAGCTGCAACTCACCTGGCATTAGGAGAAATGCAGACAAGTGGTTTAAAGGAGTCCTGTAGGTACACCTCTGAAGGGAAAAGGGAGGTTCACAAAATACCACCATGAAAAACTGTTTCCCAGGAAACTTTCCATCCCTTTATCCTTTTACAACCCCCAGTTCTCTACATACCTCTCCAAGTTTCTATCTTGTGTTCTTCTAGCTCATAGATCTGAACCTGAAAGCAGAAGCAACAGAACTTGAGACTTGATCTCCCTGCTTCACTAACCCCTTGTAGTTCGTTTGGAAGAAAGGAAATGAGAATGAGGGACTCTGGGCGGGGAAAGTGGCTTTGGTCATTGAGCTAAGGCTCCTTACCAGGGCTGATTTATAGTAGCGGTGCAGAATATTGATGAAATCAGTGATGGTCAGCATGCCTAGAGGCCAAGATAAGAGCCCTCAGCACTGCTCAAAGCTTCTCTCCCTGCCCAGCACAAGATGCCAGTAAAACTGTGTTCCAACAACTTCTGCTTACCCACAAAACTTTGCTTCTTACTATCCCACAAAGGCGCAGCTCGGACACCATTAGTCACCAAAGCAAAGAAAGCTTTCTTCACCTGTAGTGAAAGAGCAACAGTCACAAAGGAAAATTCCCAGGGGGCAGGATTTTAACAGAATAGGAATTGGGTATGCTGGGGAAAACATGAGCCCAACCCCATAGAAGGACAAGGGTATTAGCCTTGGGATGAGGTAGGATGAGAGGTATTGAACCAGAGGCTCCAAGGAAGGGGGAAGGGAAAAGAGGATTTCACCTACCTGAAGGGAAGTATCAAATACAACCAATTTTGAGCTTGTGGGAATCAGGTCATAGCAGCGATGAGACTTCATGAAGGAAGTATACACGCTATTGTTGGATTCTGGAGTCTCTGCATAGGGTGGGAAAGTTAGTAGCTTCCTTCCATGCAACAACTCACAATCAAAAGAGGCAGAAAATAAAAGTATTGTAGTTGCTCAAATATTTACAGCATGATTTTATAAGGCCCCCTATTCTGTTTTGTTCCTATTGTTCCCACAAAACCTGGATAAACCCCTTCAAAACCATTTCATCCAACCCCACCCCCAGGTAGAACTATATAATCTATTGGCTCCTTAGCCAAAAGATGGCTGACTAAAACAGAAAGTCTGTAATACTTGCACTAACCTATTCTAGTCTAAAAGCTTTTTTTCTCATCCTTAACTCATTTTCCTTTTCATATATTTAGCACATTTTCACTTGTTCTCTTTTCTCAATTAAGATGTAATTAAGCTTCTTAAAATCCAAGTAAACTTCTTAAAATTCTTCTAAGACCCACAGATGAGAAAGTCATGGTCCAAGTTGGGCCATTTCAGAACAACACTAAGTTAAAGCCCAGTGCTCAATCAACCTGGCCCAAAACAACCTGAGAGTCCATCTTGGGATGACCGTGTGAATCAGAAATCATCCCACCTACTCTAGACAAATGAGAGACCCTGGCTGGGTTTACCTTTCCATTCCCCTGATTTTAACTGCTTGCTTTCAACTGGAGAAGCAAGCCTCAAAATAATAGCCCAAATGTGCTACATAGTATGCTATGTGTACTTAAAAATATTACACCATCTAATCTGCAAGGCAAATAAATATTGCCCTCATTTTTCAGCTGAGAAAACAGGTGGAAAGCAGCAAAAAAAAAAAAAAACTGCTCAAGGTCATACCATTAGTAACAAGAAAGACTCAAACACGGATCTACCTGATTCCAAAGTTCACGCTCTTAAATCCTATGCCAGTTGTTTGTTTTTAATTTTTTACCAAAGTTATACAGGTACACAGTTTAAAGAGTCAAATATTTCTACAAATTTTGTTAAGAAAAACTGCAGTCCCTAGCACCCACCTCCCTGTACGACCCCTCCCCAGAGATGAGACCTCTTTTAGCTGAGTATTTTGGTACTTATTTCTATGTCTATAAATAACATGCTTATATTGCTACCTTTTTTGTTCACTTTTAGGCATTAACTATTATCATGCAAGGAAGATGAGAGGCATTATCTATTATCATGCAAGGAAGATGAGAATTTTCAATTCTCTTTACTACCAGGACCCCATTATAAACATGCACCTCCCATCACTCCGTTCTCCCAGAAGTTAAACTGTACGGTTGGTTACATCAGTATTTAAATAATTTTGACTAAATATTCATTATTCAGAGCTAAGTCAAGTAGTAAAGTCTGATTTTTTTTTTCTTTCACAACTTTTTGTTTTCCTTGGAGTTAATAACTGTCTTGTCTTTTTGTTTGCTTAGTTCTCTATGCATAATACTTATAACTAATTCAATCCCCAAACTCTTTACCAATTGTTTAAATCTCCTTTCAAGAAGTTCAGAAGCATGAGATAGTCTAACAATTTAAACTACCCAAAGAAGTCTCTCTGGAGCCTTCTGACCTGCTCAGATCTGGGCTGGTGTGCCTGGTGTGCACTGCTGTCATCCTTAGATCTTCCTTCATCACCATCCAGGGGAGCCAGCCCTTTCACGTCTCTCCTGTACTGGTACTCCTGTGTCCTGTATCCCATGTTTTCATCTTTTTTGATTACTCCCTTGTTTTGGTGGAGCACATCTTCCAGTAGCTTCCTGAGAAAGGGTGCATGGGAAGTAAATTTTTTGAGACCTTGTAGCCTGCAGATATCTTTATTTTACCCTCATCTTTGAATTATAATTTGGCTGGATATAGAATTCTAGGTTGGAATTTATTTTCCTGCAGAATATTGAAGGCACTGCTTCATTGCCTTCCAGCTTCTGGTGCTGTTGAGAGTCCGGAGTCCCAGGCAATTCTGATTCCTTGTGTGTGACTTGTTTTTTTCTCTTTGGAAACTCAGGATCTTCTCTTTGTTCCCAGTGTTCTGAAATCTCATGATGATTGTGCTTTGGGTGGGACAGTTTCACCCATTGTGCTGAATATTCAATGAGTCCTTTCAACATGAAAACTAATGTTCTTCAGTTCCAGGAAATGTTCTTGAATTGCTTCCTTGATTGTTTCCTTCCTTCTGTGTTGTCATTTTTCTCTTTCTGTAACTCCTATTATTTAGATATTGGACTTCCAAAAACTGATCCTTTAAGGTTTGTTTTTGTTGTTGTTGTTATTGTTTTTAAAATACAGTAGTCCCCCCCTTATCCAAGGTTTCACTTTCCACAGTCTCAGTTACCCGTGGTCAACCCTAGTCTGAATATTAAATGGGAAATTCCAGAAATAAACAATTCATAAGTTTTAAATTGCACGGCATTCTGAGCAACATGATGAAATCTCTTGCCATTAAGCTCAGTTCCAGCCCTGGGCATCAATCGTCCCTTTGTCCAGCATATCCCGCCTGTTAGTCACTTAGTAGCCATCTCAGTTATCAGATTGTCGCTGTATCACAGTGTTTGTGTTCAAGTAACCTTTATTTTACTTAGTAATGGCCACAGAGCACAAGAATAGTGATGCTGGCAATTCGGATATGTAAAACTGAAGCCCCAAAGTGCTTCCTATAAGTGAAAAGGTGAAAGTTCTTGACTTAATAAGGGAAAGAAAAAAAATCATATGCTGAGATCTATGATAAAAATGAACTTCTGGACTTCCCTGGTGGCGCAGTGGTTAAGAATCCGCCTGCCAAGGCAGGGACATGGGTTCAGTCCCTGGTCTGGGAAGATCCCGCATGCCACAGAGCAACTAAGTCGGTGTGCCACAACTACTGAGCCTGCGCTCTACAGCCTGTGAGCCACAACTACCAAGCCCATGTACCACAACTACTGAAGCCCGCACGCCTAGAGCCTGTGCTCAGCACCAAGACAAGCCACCGCAATGAGAAGCCCGCATACTGCAACGAAGAGTAGCCCCCGCTCGCCGCAACTAGAGAAAGCCTGCGTGCAGCAACGAAGACCCAACGCAGCCAAAAATAAATAAATAAAGATAAAATGTTAAAAAAAAAAAGAATCAGCATAAACACAATTCACTGATAAAAAAAAAAAGGATGAATCTTCTATCTGTGAAACTGTGAAGAATGAAAAAGGAATTCATGCTAGTTTTGCTGTCACACTTCCAACTGCAAAAGTTGTGGGGTCAGTGTGTGATAAGGGCTTAGTCAAGATGGAAAAGGCATTAAATTTGTACAATAAGATATTTAGAGGCAGACAGACCGACCAACCCCATTCACATAACTCTTAATATATGTTATAACTGTTCTATTTTATTATTAGTTACTGTTGTTAATCTCTTACTGTGCCTAATTTGTAAATTAAACTTTCATAGGTATGTATGTATGTATAGGACAAAAACATAATATATACAGGGTTTCATAGTATCTGCTGTTTCAGGTATCCACTGGGAGTCCTGGAATGTATACCCCGAGGATAAGGAGGTACTAACTACTGTATCTTTTCTCTCCTACTTTCCTCTTCTTTGATTTTTTCTTTTCCTTTATAGTTTATTACAAGATATTGAATACAGTTCCTTGTGCTATACAGTAGAACTCTGTTGTTTATTTTATATATAGTAGTTTATATCTGTTAATCCCATACTCCTAATTTATCCCCCTCCTTTCTCCTTTGGTAACCATAAGTTTGTTTTCTATGTCTGTGAGTCCACTTCTTTGATTTCTAATTCTGCTTTATGAGAGATTTCTTCAACTTGATTTTCCACACCTCCTACTTAGTTTAAAATTTTTGCTATTGTATTTTTAATTTCCAAGAGCTCCTTTTTTGTTTTCTGAAAACTGCTTTTCTTAAAAAAATTACTTCCTATACTTGTTTCATGGTGGAAATATTCTTCATCTGAGTATGCATTAATGTTAATTTTTTTAATTTATTTTTAATAAATTTATTTATTTATTTTTGGCTGCACTGGGTCTTTGTTGCTGCATGCGGGCTTTCTCTAGTCGTGGTGAGCAAGGGCTACTCTTCATTATGGTGCGCAGGCTTCTCATTGTAGTGGCTTCTCTTGTTGCGAAGCATGGACTCTAGACACGTGGACTTCAGTAGTTGTGGCACGCCGGCTCAGTAGTTGTGGCTCACAGGCTCTAGAGCGCAGGCTCAATAGTTGTGGCGCACAGGCTTATCTGCTCTGCAGCATGTGGGATCTTCCCGGACCAGGGATCGAACCCGTGTCCCCTGCACTGGCACGCAGATTCTTAATCACTGTGCCACCAGGGAAGTCCATTAACATTAATTTTTAAAGTTCTCTTCTCTATGCATTGACTTTTCCCTTCTGTTGCTTTTTTTCCTGTTTGTTTTTTTCCATTTGTGGGGGGCAGTTTGGATCACTTTTTTCAAGTTACAGGGTTTCTTTAGATGCCTGGTAATCCTTGGTTTAAAGGAGGATTCAAACCATATTTTAAGAGTGGAGTCTTTTTTTTTTTTTTTTTTTTTGCGGTACGCGGGCCTCTCTATGCAGGCCTCCCACTGTTGTGGCCTCTCCCGTTGCAGAGCACAGGCTCCAGATGCACAGGTTCAGCGGCCATGGCTCATGGGCCCAGCCACTCCGCGGCATGTGGGATCTTCCCGGACCGGGGCACGCACCCGGGTCCCCTGCATCAGCAGGCAGACTCTCAACCACTGCGCCACCAGGGAAGCCCAAGAGTGGAGTCTTTAGAGCTGATTAGAAGCTCTATGTCTGTAAATGAACCTTGTTGACGGTGAACCATTTAGATGGGGAACACTCAATACTTACATTTATAGGGCTTTCCCCTCAATGGGATTCTGAAGAGAAGGATTATTCATGCAATTTTGTGCTTGGAGGATGAAGTCTTTTCTATTAGCACTCTGAAAACCGAATGGGGGAAAAGGGCTGGGGTCTCAGCATCCAGTATGGTTCACTTCATGCTCCTGTTTTCAGCGCAGTACCTCTGCCTTCAACTGGGCCGGCGCCCCTTTCCATACCTCCAGTCTTTGCCAAAGTTGGGATGGGAGTTTCCCAGCTGCACTCAGTGGGGGAGGGAGTCTTGGGATCTGACTGCTTCTTAGACCTTCAATGCTTTTGGGCTTTCCTCACTGCTAGTTTATAATTCAGTTTTCTCAGGTCTGCTAAGTCACTTACCACACTTCTGTCTGCTTTCCAGCTTCCAAAAATTCATTGCTATTATCTCCTCTCTTGTTCTCCCTATTCTGATGGTTTTGTACCTTTTAAAAAAAATTCCTTCATGGTTTTAGTGGCTTTTTGTGAAGGAGCGAAAGTAGATGCATGTATTCAATCCACCATCTTTAACTGGAAGGCCACCATTGTTCCTCAAATTTGAAAACTCACAGACTCCCAAGAAGACTCCCATGTCTTTTGACACCAGTTTAAGACATGCTACACTGACAGTTAAATACCACCATTCCAGGCTACAGGCCTACAAACATATTTGACTTGGTTTTCCCAGGATTTTTAAAATAATTTAAATCAGTTGCCCAATTTAAAAAAATCTGGAGATTTACATAAAAATCCAAACTCTCAATTTCTTTTCATAATCAGAAGATCTTACAAAAGTAGGTTGTGAATTCCCAAATAGTAGCAATTGACCAGACCTGGATAGTTGCTGCCTCCTTTTAGATGCAACGAGATCTACAGGTTATTGTAGTCATATGCAGCTCACGTCACTGCTTGATCCATGGAGGCAATTTGAGTGTCTTACCCCTGCCTCAGTTGGTGCTAATGTGAATGCACTCAGAAACACAAAATGAGCACTGATATCATGGGGCAGTACTCAATTATGAAGAATCATCTAGGTAATTCAAAATATGACTATATTAACTTTTTTGGATACCAACAACATGAAAACAGAACATTTAAAAAATTCTTGTGGAGAACTCACGGACCTTTAATAACATGTCCTAGGATCTCATCCCATATTTCAATCCTCTGAGAAAGTGTGTACTCCTAATGCCAATAAACATGTCCTAGGAAGACTAGGAGTGTTCCTGGGCAAAATTCTTTACCAGAGATGCCTATAAATTTTGCTTCTTTCTAGATGACCTAGGGTTGAACCATTCCATTCTAACCAAGTATTTGGGCAGGTGCTGGAATTGCCTTCTCCTGTGCCCTGAATTTTAGGGTTTAGTGCCTCTATTTCTAGATTAGTTCTAAGGGTTTCAAGTCCCTTCTATAATTTCTTGTGTATACTCAGTGGTTTTAGTGAGATCGCTGTATGATGAAATCCTAGTGGCTTTGTTTCTGGGCTACTCAGAACATACCAGGGACTTTTTTTTTTTTTTTTTTTTTTTTGCAGTATCAAGTCATTTATTCATTCACTATTCTTTCTTTCTTTCTTTCTTTTTTGGCCGCACGGCACGTGGGACCTTAGTCCCCCAACCAGGGATGGAACCTGCACCCCCTGCATTGGAAGCACAGAGTCTTAATCACTGGAGCACCAGGGAAGTCCCTACCAGGGACTTCTAAACCATGGTTAGCCAGCCCAGAGTTGCCTATGGAAGTTTTCCCTGTACCTCAAAAGTTTCTCTCAGGTGGTATGCCAACTGAGGATATTAATCATCCTCACCCTGCCCAAGATTTATTCCTAGGTGATCTTGCCAAATCACTGTTCCTGATTTATGTGGTTTGGCACATTATCTGGCCCAGCTTTGATCTTCCCAGGGAAGACTCCGGGAGAAATTCAAAAGCACTGCTGAAGACAAATTAGGATTGGGCTACTGGTATGAAACTGGTTCTCATACCAGTTTCCTTTCTTCAGTAAACTTACCTTGAGGATGCTCATTTTCCAGAGCTGAGTAGTTATCTGAAGAAGTGACCTGGAGAGACAGAGGAACAAAGATTCAGCCTATCTTAGGCTCCATCCATTTGAGCCTAGCAACATTAGGGAAAGGGCTGGTTAACTAATGACTTCCTTGTCTTTCAGAAATATTATCTCATTTAATCTTTATAATAACCCTGAGGTGAATACTATTATTAGCCTTATTTTCACAGATTAGGAAACTTAGGTTCAAGAAATATTAAGCAACCTGCCCAAGGTCGCATGGCTGGCAAAGGGTGGAATGGGGATTTGAATACAGATCTGTGCTGTTCCAAAGCTCATGCCCTTATATACTACCTTGCCTAATGAAACATTAGGTCTTAAAAGCTGAGACTAGAAAATATGAGCTTAAGGTTGGCCCCACAACACTCTCACAGACCTATTTTATAAAAATATGGAAGCCAGAGAGACAATACTGCTTTCCCCCAAACAGTCACTAAGCATAGTTGTGGGCACCTGAGTCACTGACGTACCCCTTACCATGAGAGGGGGCCACATCTGGGGAGGATCCCAGCAGCTGACTACCAGAGAGAGTCAAAGTTTGAATGACTGAGGGGTAGATAAGAAGGATAAATGTTCTGAAACTAGGGAACTGAGTCCTCTCAGCACCCTTGTGAGTCAAAGGCTGCTATAGCCCAGAGGGTGCTGGTTTTCCAAGTTTCCTTGTTCATGACAGTCTGAGATTAGAAAGTGCTTTGAATATAGAGAAACCTTCAGAACCATCTCTGTGCTCCCTCAAGTGGGAACACATTTGGAAATTTCATTGTTATCTAGGAACCCAGGAGAGATCATGATAATTTTTGTCGGCTGGAATCAACAGTTTTGCCTCTATTTTGCTCTGTCTGGGTAATATCCCCAAACTAACTTAAAGTCATACTTTACCTCCACAGCTGCTGTAGTGACATGAAGTTAAAGGCCTTGGCTTGAAGCTGGGAGGTTGGCTGGTAAACAGGGTCGAGTTGGCAGGACAGCCCTAAACTTCCCTCCTCTAATGGGCCAGGGTGTGGGCAGGGGATAATCTCCCTCTCTTCTGTCTGGGCAGCATAAGGCTATCAGCATGGCCCGGCATTTTGGCAAAACTGTCGGAACAACAGCCTCATCACTTCTAAGTGGGAAAGAGGTCTGTTTAGCAGTAAAGCAGTCTTACAAAGATCTATACAGAGACACAGAAACAGCTACTTCTGTAGAAATTATTGTACCCAGCGTATAATACCTATTTACTGCACTGTGCTACAGTTATTTTGTTCGTTATCTATCCAAACAGACTGTAAATTCCTGGAAGCCTGGAACTATCATATAGTTCTTTGTATCACTCCCTCATACCACGTAGCATGGTGGTTTGCATATAACTCGCAACTGTTTTGTTTTTTAACTCTCAAATTGATAATGATACACACTGATATGAACAGAGAGACCTAAGATTAAGTTACAGAGAGAGAAGAGAGACATACAGCTAAACAGAGACACAGATACCTACATAAGAGAGTCAGACACAATTGAATATGACTTTATCTTTCTGCCTGTTTCTCCACACAGGAGTGGGATAATTATGTCCACTCTCTCTACATTTAATAACATAGGGGACTTGTGCAAAATACTATTTTCAGAGACACACCCTAGATCTGACACACAGACTCACAATTTCTTCCAAACTCCTGATCCACATTTTCAGTTGTTTGCTGCACCACCACAGATGTCACAGAGACTCCTCAAATGCTTCAATACAAAACAGAACAGCATCTGTCCCTCCAATCCTATTATTCTTACTGTGGGTCCCACCTTTGTTTTTGCACTGCTGTCTTCCCTGATGCCTAGAACTGTGGTCTTGATTCCTCCAAGAACAAGCTATGCCAACATGTCTGCTTAGAATGACAGAGCAGGGCATGACCTAAACTCATCCTTAACATCTATCAGCTAAGCTGCTATGTTAGAAATGCCTCAAAGCCATCTCTCTCCTTTCCACTTTCACAGCTTTAACTTAGCCTTTTACATCCCACTTCTATAGCATTCTCTGAGCTGGTCTCCCTGCCAGTTTAGAGAAGAGGAAGTCTATTTCCTCTTCAATTTGTCTTTCATGCTGTCCAAGTTCTCTCACCAAGCATCTCAGGTTTGGAAGGGACTTTCAACTCCAGCAACCAAGAACTCACTACTTTCTGAAGCAGCTTCATCCATTTACAGAAAGCCGTTAGGAATATTCCTGAAGTACACTCACTACCTTGCTCATGAATCTTCCATGGGTCCTCTTATTACAAAACAAAGTTCAAACTTAATGTGGCATGCAATATCTTCAACCTGACCCCAGCCTACTTTTCCATTTTCCAGTCATTTCTCCAACTGTGACCAAAATCCAAAGCTCCGGCAACATCAAGCCACTGGCTCACCCCAATTAATCTCTACATGCCCCAGTTTCTATGCCCTTGCTCACACTGTTCTCTCAACCTGCAATGCCCTCTCGTGGGCTGACAGCAATTTCTCCCTCCTCTATGCTGCCACGGTCCTTTTTCTGCATCTTGATGCTAGCATTTATTACAGTCTACCTTAAATAACAGCTGTCACTGACTTGCCCTCACCCCCACTCCAGTTAGGCTAAGCATTTTCAAAGCAGGAGTTTTCCTTTTTCTTTATTTTATTCAATTAATTTATTTATTGGCCAAGACACGTGGCCTGCGGTATCTTAGTCCCCCCACCAGGGATCAAACCCAGACCTGGCAGTGAAAAGGCTGAGTCCTAACCACTGGACCGCCAGGGAACTCCCTTTTTTTTTTTCTTTTCAAAACTATTTCTATTCCAAAAACCTAATCCAGTACATAAAGTATGAGGGCTAAATCAGAAAACCTATATTAAAATGCTTTGTAAACCATAATATATTTATAAGTAAGTAAAAAATAATGTTATTTTGAATTTAATGGAATCAGAACTTTCATTCTTGTTCAAAATTCTCTTAATCTGTAAGAACTTACTCCCTTGCCTGGGTGACCAGCTGCAAATCATTTTACCACTTTGGTCTGGTTTCTTCTTTATAACCTTAGGGACATGACCTCTCCGCAGGCAAACAAAGGGTACAGTAAGGGAATGACCCTGGGCGTGTAACTGATCCAAAGAAAGGTGAACCTGCAGCCCTCACACAACTACAGTAGCAGATGATAAAAACCAAGGTAGTTAGAGTTACTCTGCCTGACAAAGGATACATGGAGGGAAGTGAATGGGCAGGGTTCCAGAGTACTAGACAAAGGCTCCTGAGAGTGAGGATGGGTCCAAACAGGTAGTAGGCAACCTGCAGCAACTCTGGGAGGATGACAGGGACCTGCCACAATCCGTCAGTGCGTGCCTGCCAAGAAGGAGCTACGCCAACACACCTGCTCAGAATCGCAGAGCAGGGCGTGACCTAAACTAGATCAGGGACACAGTGGCCTCTAACACTGAAAGGGTCCCTCCTTCGGGGAAACCCCACTTTTCAGTCTCATTAAGGGTATGTTACCTCGCTGGACACCTCAATGCAGTATAAAAGTCTTTCAGACGTCCCTCCTGCCAAGGACTGCATGAATCACACTCACACAACTGGGGACCAGGTGCTACCTGCAAGCGGGGGTCCCTCGGAACCCCCTGCTTCACCCAGGAAAGCTGGCTCACAACCCTTCTCTCTCAGGCAAACCTCCGAAGGGCCCGAGGCGCTAAAAGGAAAGGAGGCCCGATATCGCCAAGGCGTGCGTAGGTTCCAAGGAGGGAGCTAGGAGTCACTGCCCGCTCGGGCTAAAAGTACCACGGACCGAAGGCAGGCACGGGCGCGGCCCAGTCCTAGGAGATGCACTCAGCGAAGGAGCGGAGGAGCAGGGTCACGGGATAGGACTGACACCCTGCTTCTCGGTTACTGGGCACCAGAGCCGGCCCCGGCCTCCCCGTCCCCTGACGGGGGGGTCTCAAGCTCCACGGCGCCCTCCCGCAGCCCTCCCGCGCTCCTCACCGCTTCCATCGCGACAGACGCCGGCTGGGTTCGTTCGCTTTAGGAAGCTTGCCCGGGGAGGGAGGCGGGGAAGGTCCCGCCCCACGTCCGGTACCGCGACGCCACTTCCGCCTACGTCAGGACTGACGCAAGCCAAGGGCGGAAGGCCAGGAGCAGACCCTTCCGGCGTGGCCTGGCCTCCGAAACCGCCCTCCCCCCAGTCCTCCCGCACCTCACAGATCCCACCGACGGCGAGGGTGACGGGACGGAGCCGCTTGTATTTAAAATGTTCTTTTTTTATTTGTCGTTTAAAAACAAACTTGGAAGAAGCAAAATCCAAAACTTGCCCTTTGCCTCTTGCAACATAAATTATGTACAGTTCAGAATGATCGCTGATACAAAACATGCCAAGGACAGGGGCGCTGGGGGTGGAGGGATAGAGGGCGCTTTAAAAAAGGGAATCATTTCATCCGTTGTTACGAAGGACCAACCTTGCTGTACAGGATACACACAACACAAAATAAAGTCTTCACGGGATTCACACTTGTCAGAGATTTATTTTTTAAAAAGGGGGAGGGAGGGTCCTGGAGGTGAGGGGAGAAGACCGTAAAGGGGAAAAACTGAAAATTGAATATGTGCAAGTGTAAACCAACCCAAAATACAAACATGGGGCACGGGGAAGGGCGGGGCGGGGGAGAGGGAATTCTGATGCAATTATACAGGCGGGGTACTTTAGAAAAAAAAAAAAAAAAAAAAAAAAAAAAAAAAAAAAAAAAAAAAAAAAAACCTTGTAGCTTGGGTCTGAGTTAGTTTATATAAAAATTAAAAACTGTATAAGGTTTCTTCACTAAATTCTACAGGACTATCAGATACCTAGCATATGCTTACAAAGTCTGCCCCATCCCCTTTTCCCAATCCCAGGGCCCAAGCCCCAACCAGAGCCTGACTCGCAGGAGCCAATCTCCCCCTCCCTGTAGCCTAGACCTTCTTTGCTCCTGGAAAAGGAACATCCAATGGCTTTGGGGGCAGCAGCCCAGTCTCCCCACTGTCTGATTTAACTACAGTGGTTTCCGTGGGGGTGAGGGGATGTTATTCTCTTAAACATTTGCAGCTTGAAACAGTTGAGGAAGCAGCTTAAAAAAAAAAAAATCTCCCTACCCCCATCAATCCGCAACCCCCCAAATTCGAAAACAAACAAAAACAAACCTAAAATCACAACAGCAACCGTGCTCCCCCTCCAGCAGGCCCGCCCATACACCACCACCAAGCCCACCCCTACACTCCAGACATTTGATTCTTGAAAATATTAATTACAAAATGCCCTTTGCCCACAGCCCCTAGGAGAGAACTGCATATAAGCTTCATCTTCATCCCCATGGCTCCCTACCAGAGAGGGGTCTGGGGCCTCACCCACCCCCTGACCTAACCCTACCCCCAGGAAGAGGTTCAACTGCAGCACAAGCTTGGGCAGAAAGGGGAAGGACAAGGGAGGAGGCAGGGGAACCCATTACCCTCTGGCTCCCCCTGGGGCCAGCTCACTTTTGTGCGTTATAACATAGTCCAACTATACAAAAGGGGGTGGGAATCGCCCAGCCTCTATACCCCCCCCTTACAGCAGTCACAGCCAGGGGGTGGGGAGGAGGGGGTGAGGAAAAGGGCGGTAGGTTGGGTAATGGAGGGGGCTCCCCCACAAGGGGAGCTCCATGTGTCCGCCCCACGCCCCCCTACCATTTATAAACTGGTTTTGTAAAAAGAAAATAGATATATTTATATAGAATATATAAAGCACAAAAATTAGTAGTTTTACATTTGCTCTCCCCGGGGGTGGGGGGAGAGGGGAGGGTTCTCACCTCCAGCCGGCTCCCCCATGCCCCACAAGACTATGTACAATCCCATGTATAAATAGATAAATACCCCCCACCCTCCCCGCGCTGACACTAAGCTCCCCCAGCCCCACATCACCACCCCTTCCCACCAGACCAGCAGCAGTTTGGTGACGGAGGGAAAGTGGGAGCTCCGGGCCACACCCTGCCTCACTGGGTATGGGCATGCCACTCAGGGATAGCCCTCACCCTACCACCCACCCACCCTATCCAGGGGCTGGAGGGCAAATGGGCTCATGATGGGGTTGGGAAAACCGGAGGGAGATATCCTGGTCCTAAGTTTAGCACACCCCTCCTGCCCCCATGTCCAGATGGAGAAGGAAGTCCTAGAGCAACTAGGGGCCAGTCATCCCCAATCTTCATCATCATTAGTCTCAACCACCATCCCATGCCCGTAATTAAAAACAAAGATGGATTTTTTGTTGTTGTTTTTTCTTCTTCCTCCTACCCCCCTTCCACCCACTCAGAAGAGGGCAGTGAGGTGGGGGAGAGGGTTGGGGCAGTAGGGGGCTTGGAGAGGGTCTCACATTTCAAAACAGCAAAAAATCCAACACTTAAATGAGGTAGGTGTGGGTGCGGGGTCTCCTTGCCCGGCTTGCCCGGCTTGCCCTCCTGGGCAGCGGGGCGCCTCTTTCCCGTTCATGTTGCATTTGTCAGAGTGGAAAACAAGGAAACACAACCCATAGAGAGACAGAAACACAGAGGAGAAGAGGGAGACAGAGACAGATTGAGAGGGAAGGGGATGGGGGTGAGGGTGGGGGCAGGACCCGGCAGGCAGGGCCAGGTGTGGGACCCGGCCTTTGGGATTGTCAAGCTTAGTCAAGTCTCTTTGCAGCCTCGAGTTGGGCCAGAGAGGTCGGTGGGAGCAGCAGGGCTGTGAGGCCCGGCCACACATCCTCCTCCCCCCTCCCTGCTGCCTCCCAGATGCTTCTGGGTAGTTCCCAGCCCATATCCCCCTCAAACCTGAGATGCCCAATGGCTGCTTCTGTCTGACCCCTCCTGGAGCTGGGGGCAGAGATGCCAGCCTGGGGGCCAGTGGCGGGGAAGAGGGTCATCCCTGGTGCCCAGGGTGGGCGTGGCCTAGGGCCCTCTGCCCCAGCCTCCTGCTCCAGGGGCTCCGGTCAGCCGGCAGCCCCAGCCCTGGGTCCTGGCTCTGGCTGCTACCTCTCTTCCCCCTCATCCCTTTCAGGGAAGAGGTTGGGGTGGGGGACTCCCCTGCCTGGTAGCCTCAAAGCTTCTTAGTTCATCCATTTCCGACAATTCCAGGCTCCACAGTGGCAGGGGATCTTGTGCTGATCGTCCTCAAAATCAAACTGATAGTCATATGTCAGCTGGAAAGAGAAGAGGGCAGAATCAATGCCAGTCCCCCAGAGGAAGTGGGGGAGGGCAGTGGCCTTGGATTTTGACTTGCAGCAAATGGCACAGAAGAGGGAGCTGCTTTGTCACTCACTGAGGGATGCTTCCTCTTACCTCCTCTCCTTTGGGGATTCGCCGGCTGGAGATGATGATGATTTTGTCCTCCTTGTCAAATGTCACAACTTCCGCCACACAGTTAGGGGCACAGGAATGGTTAATGTACCTAGGCAGTGGGACAAAGTCAGAAACGCCGAGCAACTGGGTTGGATGGTTCTGGTTCCCTGTTGGCCCACCCCCAGAATGCCACCCCAGGGGACTCTTAAATACCTTCTTACTCATCCCTCTCTCACCTGGCAGGGCCTCCGGTCAACGTAGCATCAATGACATGTTCGTTGTTTATTCGAAACATGTAGATGCCTCGATTCTAGAAAGGCAGAGGTTGCAGAGGAAGGGGCAAGAATATCAGAGAATGGCAGCG